GGTACAAGATTCAAAGCAAGGTTAGTGGCTAAGGGGTTTGCACAAAGAGAGGGAGTTGACTACAATGAGATCTTTTCTCCGGTGGTCAAGCATACTTCCATTCGGGTGCTATTGAGTATTGTTGCTCATCATGATCTTTTGCTGGAACAACTCGATGTCAAAATCGCCTTCTTGCACGAGGACTTGGAAGAGGAAATCTATATGCATCAACCTGAGGGCTACAAGGTTGAGGATAAGGAACGTCAGGTATGTCGCTTGAGAAAATCACTATATGGATTGAAGCAATCTCCTCGGCAGTGGTACAAGCGATTTGACTCCTTCATGCTAAAGCATGGTTTCTTCAGAAGTGAGTATGACTGTTGTGTTTATATTCGAAAACTTCGGGGAGGTAATTATATCTATCTTATTTTGTATGTGGATGACATGCTTATCGCTTCAAAAAGCAAGGTTGAGATAGATAGGTTAAAATCTCAACTTGGTAAAGAGTTTGAGATGAAGGATATGGGGGCTGCTAGGAAAATACTGGGTATGGAGATTAGAAGAAAGAGGACGAGCCAGCGAATGTTCTTGAGTCAGAAAGGCTACATTGAGTGGGTTATTGCTAGGTTCGGGTTGCAAGGTGCAAAGTCGGTGGTGACTCCATTGGCTCCACATTTCAGGCTCTTTGGTAAACAATCTCCTACTACAGCGGAAGAAAAGGTACGCATGGATCGTGTACCTTATGCTAGTACAGTTGGCAGTTTGATGTATGCCATGGTGTGTACACACCCAGATATTTCATAGGCGCCTAGTGTGATCAGTAAATTCATGGCGAATCCGGGGAAGGCACATTGGGAAGTTGTGAAGTGGATCCTGAGGTACTTAAAAGGTAGTGCGGATACGGGTTTATGTTTTGGTGGAGGTGCATGTCATATAAGTGGGTTTGTGGACTCGAATTATGCAAGTGATCTAGATAGACGACGATCTACTACTAGATATGTGTTTTGCATACATGGTGCCCCAGTTAGTTGGCGATCGATGTTATAGGCTACAGTGGCTCTTTCTACTACAGAGGCCGAGTATATGGCCATGGTAGAGGGAGTGAAGGAAGCATTGTGGTTGTGGGGTCTTCTAGATGATTTGGGGATTGAGCAGGATTGTGTGGACTTGTGGTGTGATAGCTAGAGTGTGATTCACTTGGCTAAGAATCAGGTTCATCATGCTCAAACCAAGAAAGGTGATGTCATAGAGAAAGGTGATATTTCTCTCTTGAAGGTACACACAAATGAGAACCTAGCAGACATATTAACCAAAGTGGTAACGGGTAGCAAGTTTCAGCATTACTTGGACTTGCTTCACATTAGTCCGTGTTGATATGCTCGAGTGGGCATGGCCCTTCGGGGCGGGGTTGAAATGAGGTGAAGAGTATATGAAGGTGGAGGTGAACTACGGAGGCTTGATCCCGAGCTTTGGGTAAATAGGCAACTATGGTTTGAATGGTGCAGCTGAGTTTTTTTGGTGCTTGCTGCTTCTTCTTGTGTTCGTCCAAAATTTGAGGTCTATCAAATGATGTACGAGGTAGAGAATTATNTTTTCTTTCTTGTGGATTAACCTGAGGCTTGTTCAAGTAATCCAAATCCATTGTTCTTCATTTATATTGAAAATCATTTCTTCTCCAATTTCTTATCTTTGAAGTGGTTTGGGATTTTTCACATTGCAAGCTATCTTTCTTGGACAATATTGGGAGTGTTGTTTTCCCAACAAATATATTGAAGCATGCTATATGCCAAGTATATTACAAGCAGGTTTTGGCCTAATGCATGAAGACTGTGGCTTATGTGATCAACAGGCTACAACTCAAACGGTTGGGGTCGATCTTACTCTTTGAAAAACTATGGAATATCAAACCCACACTAAGCCACTTTAAAGTGTTTGAGTTTTTGCTATGTGTTCAAGCCTGACCACTTTCGAAGTAAGTTTGATAAAAAGGCAATTAGGTGTATTTTTGTTGGTTACGATGATAATAGAAAAGGCTGGAGGTGCTTTGATCCTAGCATTAATCATTGCTATGTTTCAAGAAATGCTTTATTTAAAGAAGCTTCATCTTTGTGGTTACTTGGTTGAATCGCACTTATAGATTCAAAAATGAAGGAAAGATTGAAGGAGCTAGAGGACAGCATACGGTAAGATTCCAAAAGCTCGAAAAAGGAGACATCTCTAGTTGACGGAAGAGAACATGAGCCAATTGAAGCAGTAACTCCAGGAAAAGTTGGAAGCCCATGTAACACTAGTATACATAGAAAATCAAGTGAAGAGGCTGAGAAAAGTAGTTCGTTACCTTAGCTCAGAAGGTTAAGTAGACAATGAAAACCGAATTCCGGTTATGTTAATGTAGTTGTCATTGAAGAATATAGCATCAAAGAGCCAGCCACATGTGAAGAAGTATCTAGAAGCGTGAATTGGAGAAAAGCAATGGAAGAAGAAATGTCTGCTTTGAAAGAAAACCAAACCTGGGAATTAGTTTCAAAGTCGAATGAAGTCAAACCCATTTCTTGTAGTGGGTTTACAAGTTGAAAACTCGACCATATGGTTCTATGGAGAGATACAAGTTGCGGCTGGTGGCTAGAGAATTTTCTCAACGATATGGACTTGATTGTAATGAGACAACCAGTCCTGTAGCTAAGATTATCACAGTTAGAATTTTACTATCATTAGCATGTAAAGCTTGGAAGTTATGGCAAATGGGTGTCAAGAATGCTTTTTTCCACAGAGTTAGATTGTATAATATATATAGAGCAACCACAAAGTTTTGAGGACACAGTGGCATCTTCAGATCCAAGTCTATTTATGAAGGAACGTGAAGGTAAACTAGCAATAATACTAGTTTATGTGGATGACTTGATAATTATTGGATATGATGAAGATGAGATCAAATTGGAATGAGAAAATTTATCAGTTCGATTTCAAATGAAAGAACTAGGAGAATTGACACATATTCTTGGGCTGAAGTTAGAATAAACACGAGAAGGATTATTTCGATGTCAATAGATGCATGCCAAAGATCTCCTACAAAAGTTTGGAATGCTTTGATGCAAACCAATCTCTACCCCATGGAACCGAATGCTAAGCTATGTTCATATGAAGGCAAAGATTTGGAGGATGCTATTATGTATCGTCAACTTGTGGGAAGCCTAAATTACTTGACGTTGATGTGATCATATATTTCGTTAGCCATTGGAGCCGAGTCTATTTATACAGAATCCAAAGAAGCCTCATCTAGAAGCTGTCAGGCGTATATTGAGGTATGTAAAAGGAACCATAAATTTTGGCTTATTATACAAAAATGGGAGAGCAATCAAAATAGTTGGATACTGTGATGCGGATTATGCTGGAGACCATGCCACAAGACGGTCAACAACAGACAATGTTTTCCGCCTTGTTTCAGGACCAATCTTTTGGAGTAGTAATAGACAACAAACAATATCACTCTCGACCACTGAAGCATAATATGGAGCAACGGCAATGGAAGCTCAAGAAAGTACATAATTAATGCAAGTGATAAAGGATTTGCACCAAAAATAGAACCTAGTGAAACTTCATGGGATAATTAGTAAACTATAAAACTAGCAGAAAATCCTGTATTTCACTCAAGAACTAATCATATAGAACTTTATTCAGGGAGAATGTGCTAAATGAAGAAATACAAATAAAATCAATCATGACTGAAGACCAAGTTGCAAACGTGTTCACTAAAAGTCTAAATTCCTCTAGCTTTGCAGAATTTTGTGAATGACTTGGCTTGACAGATAAAATCGGAGAAGTACGTGTTTAGGTGGAGTGCTAAGAATCAGCATGTCTTTTACATAATTTCCCAAAAACTTCCTAAAAGCCTAGCAACATATGTTAGCCAATGACATGATTTCTTAATTGTGAAGTGTTCCAGCCTCAAAGTTTGACCACTTCCTTTCTATTCATGAACTTCAAGTCACATGATTTTCTTCTCCTCGAAGAAAGCTGCACAAGAATTCTATTGGCTGCCTAGCGTCACTTGTCCTTCATTTCTTCTTGGCTGGCCATATAATTCATTGGTTTGGAGATGAGATGTTGATGTGTTCATTTTTTATTGGTCTATGATGCTGCTGCTTGTCTCTAATCCTGCTGCTTATAGAGTTTTATAAATAGGGGAGCTGCCTCATTTTATTTCCCGCAATCTGATCATGTGTGTGTTCTGATCAATTTTGAGAGAATCTATGTTCTGATCATATTGAGAGCGTGTGTTCTAATCAATTTTGAGAGTGATTGTTACTAAGTTTCACGTACTGATTTTGATTTAATATAAGCAAGTGTGCCGTTATCCCATTTTATGTGCTAACCGAGGGTCTCATGAAGCTCTTTGTGACCGCTAAAGCACTTTGAGGCCAAATTCAGCCATGTTTATCTCTCATTAGGACAACTGTGATGCTCGATGCTCAATGCTCAATGCCATTGTTTATTAAATAAAGTGCACTTTTAGTAATTCTTAGGAACTACTTTGAAGACATACCTGTATAAAGATCAATGCTATGTCAATAAAATGGGAGAAAGAATAGAGGAAAAATAAATCTTAGAGATCAAATAAAACACATTAAAATCCATCTTTTGAGAGAAATGATACAAAGAAGTCAAGAAATTGATTTAATTAAAATATGAAGATGTCCGAGCTCTTGGAATTACAGATTAAAGATTGAAAAGATTCATCATATCTTCTCGTTCTTAAATTTATAGGGTGATGTTTATGTCAAATTCTTATTATCTTCATTTCTTTACCATATTTATTGGCTAGATTATTTGTTAGGACGCACAATGTATCTTGTTGATGTTTACTCATGCTCTAATTCAATATTTTGAATTTCACTTTCTATAAATTTTGTTGAATTGACTTTGATTGATTTATTTATTTTCATATTTGTTAACAAGAATTATATTTATATTTGAAACATGTTAAGTCAAGAGATTGCGTGTCAAAACTCCCAATCTTCTTTACATAAATTTGTTGTTGAATTTAGAAATTCCAACTTATATATGTTGTCCTATGTTATTATGCATCACTTTTATCAAACTATTTAAACCTCAGCCCTTTATTCGAATTCCCCTACAGAGTCTTTGAAGAGAAAGGAAAGCACTAACTGCTATATTTCAATATGTTTGGTGCTTAGCCTTTGTTGAAAGAATTGTAGGTGTAAATGGACTGATTTCACTAGTAGAGAACTTTCTCCAATGTGCGCAAACAACAATTCGTAGGTTTCAAGTCTCTTCAATTCCATAGTTAATTTGTATTTGTATTGGTGTTCATTCATGGCTATTACAACATTATTTGTGTTAAATATAAAATTAACCCAGAAAATTGAAGTCTCCCTCTTCGTAGTAGTATTCCATACACCAAAATTTGTGAGTTCTTTGTTCTCTCTAAATTTCTCTATTATTTCTTTGTCGTCAAGAATTTTGTTCTTTGTAGTCTAGATAATTTATTTGTTTTAGCTCGGTGATAAAATTGTGAGTATTCTTAGTTCACCTAAAATAGTGACGATATGCTAGTCCGCTGCTTTCAACTGCTATATCAAGAGAGACATATGCCATTAGTCCTCTTACACCATAGTGCAGGATGAATCTAATTTAAGGAAATTGCGTGAAACATAGGCCTCGGTTCCTTCCAATACTATTATTACATCAACAACATTTTTCTTCTATTCTTATTGTTACTTTGTTTATTGCAATATTTCTTTTCATTGTTTTATTTATATAATTCTAGTAATATTTTTAATATTTTTTTGTATTTTTCCTAAAATCTTAAAACAAGTTCGACACAAAGGACAAAAGGAAGGGTTGGAATACAAAGAAATATGATTGTGAAAAATAATATTTTTCTACAAAATTTATAAAATCTTGGAATTTGAAAGTTACGATACAGAAAAGTTTTATTTAGAAGATGGTTTTAAGTGCTCCCATTTGTGACACCTCCAACTGACCTGAACACTAAATTTTTGAAGGAGGCTAGACCTTTTGAGGTTGGGCTTGGACTCATCTAGCCTTCTTTGAAAATTATCTGTAGAGTGCTATTCAGTTGTTGTCATAAATAGCTTAACTATTATCATATTTGAAAGTAAGCATATTTTTTATTTGAAAAATTAGTGTATTTTCGATATTGAGAAAATAGCATAATTTTCAAATGGTTTTAAAAAATTATCATAATTTCATTATTGAGGAAATAGCATTGTTTTCAAACATTTTTGGNAAATAGCATAATTTTCAAATGGTTTTAAAAAATTATCATAATTTCATTATTGAGGAAATAGCATTGTTTTCAAACATTTTTGGACGATTGCATATTTTCAACTGAAAAATTAGCGTATTTTCATATCGGTGAAAATAGCATAATTTCTTATTCTGAAATTTACATTTGTTATTTGGTATTTCGAAAAAAAAAATGGCACGTGAAAATAGCTAACACAACCACGGTAGTGGCTCACGGGCCTACACCTGTTGTAGACTCTAAATGATACTGACATCTATTACTTATGGAGAAAAATTGAAGAAATTCAATAAGCTAAACTTCAAGAGGTGACAACAAAATATGCTATTTTATTTAAGAAACTTGGCCAAGCAAAGTTCTTGATTGAGAATCTTTCGAAGTTAAAGGAGGATGAGACCGACAGCTAAGTCATCATTGCAATATATGCTTAGAAACATTTTGAATACTTGTGTATGAATTATTTCATGAATGGACACATGGATTCTTTATACAATGTTCAGCAAAAGAGCTCTGAGAGTTTCTCAACCAGAAGTACAATACTGAAAATGTTGGCACCAAGAAATTTTTGGTTGGCCATTTCCTAAGTTTCAAGATAGTGTTGGGACCGATGAAGACAATGCAAGAATTGAGATTTGATGAACCCAATATGAAGTATAAATAAAGATCACAGAATAACCAAGAACAAGATTAAAGTAAAAGATGCAAACTAAAAGGGAACTGGCAGAGGAACGATATTATTTTATTCAATTACTATGAAAGGAGAGAATTACAACAATTAGCTTAAACTAAACTGAAAGAGGAGCCACGTATTTGTAGTACAGGAGTCAAACGCTAAAACTAGGAAAAAACCACGTAAAAGAAAAAGACGTGTCACGTGTCCGACAATTTTCTTTCATTTCTTCACGGTTTCAAATTGTTTCCTTCCTAGTCTTGGATTCCAATTGATTCTTTCCATATTTCTTGAATCATATTAATTATCTTCTAAAACCATATGGCTCCAACAAGATTTCTTTCCAAAACTCAAGATTGCCAAATTCTTGCCAAATTTCGAGACACATATTTAACAATCTCCACCTTGACTCGAAATTCTTGTGCAACGAATGATGCTCCAAATTTCTTCACCTTGAGAAATGATCCGTCTGCATCAGAATAACCAAGTTCCTCAACACAGTAACCAAACTTTCCACGAAAACACGTTCCCTCGCCCCGCGTCCACATGTGACATTCGAACCCAAACCTGGGTTCCCAAAATTTCACCTAGAATTAATAATCACTAGACAAGGTCGAAGCATACCCTGTAGCAGAAACCACACCAAATGCACGATTGGAAGGCCCCTTGCTAGAACTATCACCTTCAACGATCCCTAAGGCATTGCAGACATTATTGACACCACTAAACCTACGCTCCA